TGACATTTACAGAAATGATCTATCAAAATATGGAAATAATTACAAAATATATCAGTAAAAGAGAATTAATATTAGAGGATTTAGAAAATATGATTAAACTGGTTAAAAATGATATTGCTAATGTTGATAATGTTTCGATTGGTAGCGATAAGTGCCATATAAAGCCTCTTAATGTGACGAAAAGTGATGAAATTTTCAATATTTGCATCAATAAACCAGACTCTCCTCTCATTTATAATTCTTCTATGGATCTTATAAAGCATAATAAGAAATTAAAAATTGATTTTGAGGACAGTTTAGAAAATAATAAAAAAGTTGTTAGCAATGAAATGGTTGAAGATATCCCCCCATATGCTAACGAATCAGATTTTTCCTTTATCGACTATTCATAAATATTTATTAAAAGAACAATAATGTTTTTTATCTTGATTGCTTATTATGTTTTTTCAATTTATGATAAATAATATAATTGTCAGATCTAACAAAGTTTCAGACCAGATTGTTCTTTGTTTAAAACTCCTTTGAATGATAAAAACTGTTCATATCACTATGATTAGGAATATTCAAGGGTGTTATGATACTTTCCTGTCTTCTTAAAAATATATTCATATCCATGAAGAATTCGTGGTATTGGATGTCTATATCATAGTAATGCCAAAAATACTATTTTGATTATTAATATTCCTATATATTCATATAACTCATTAATAGTCGAAATCTTAGCACTCAAAAACATCTAATTGCTATAGTTCACCAAATATTTTTGGTAATGGATAAAGATGTTAGTTCTTTGACGTCTATGATATTTTGTTTTAAGCTGTTTCATTTTGTTTCGAATATTTTTTGTTTTAACAACTTCATTATCTCTTACTATGCTTCGTTATCTACTCTCCATTTTTTTGGGATTCTTAATGTTTCCATTGCTTTATTTAACTCTTCCGTATTCTGCAAGTTTTATAAAACTGAAAAAGAGATTCTCGATTTTCCAATTGGATTCATTACCTATATCTGATAGATTAAAAGATCATCTAATTCGAGGACAGACACAAGGGCAAGAAATTAGTGTAGTTAATTCTCTTATACAGCGTACTTTCATTGAGATGGTAAGAAACCATAACTTTGAAAGTAAAATTAGACAGTTACTTTTGAAGAATTTTGGACCAGGATTAAAGATGGGCATTTTTAAGGGAGTTGAAATTGAAAAAATAGAGTTTGGATGTGAGGCTCCATATATTAATGATATAAGGATAATTAATGACAAAGAATTTGACAGAATTATCAATAAAGGAAATAAAACGACTGAACATTCTCCAAATGATTCTTCAAAACAACTTGAGAAAATAACTTTGGAGCTAAAACATCAATTGGAAGCATCTAATATCACAAAGTTTCTAGATAGAAGCCATGATTCAACTGCTATAAACGACAAATCTGAATTGATTTTATCACATAATAAAGATTCCGTACCTTCTCCAGCAAGATTACCCAGTAAAATAGAATTTCAACACGATATTTTGAATAATAGAGAAGAAATTACCAATGAAGATTTGATTAATTCGAAAAATTTTTATCGAAACATTTATGAGCATCTAAAAATTTCCGGAAATCTTGATTATTCGGGAGGGTTTATCGTTTCAATTAAAATCGAACTACCAAAGCATATGTTTGTAAATTCCGTGATTTCCTTGAAAAGTCTCAAAGGAACTATCATTATACAAACACCCGCCAAGAATTATTCTACTCGTTATGAATATTGTTTTGCAAATGATTTGGAATTTGATATTAACGTACATTCTGGATTAGAAACTGGTTCTAATAAGATATTTTTTCAAAATAGTATTAGTACTTTTGTTAAAAAAGCAGTGAATTATACATTTCGTCGGTTTTATGAATATCCACAGTGGAATTATTACACTCAACCGTTTATTCCTTATAAATTGAGAGTAGAACATATGAACAATTATATAAATGGAACAGATATACAACAGTTTGCTCCAATTTTGGATAATATACTTAATTTAATGGATTTGGATTATAAAATTTTGGGAAGATACACTCAAAGTTACAGCAGAAATATACTCAGCGATAAGTATTCTACTAACTTATACGGTAATTTTTCAAGACACACATCTTGTATAAATGATATCTGTCATAGGCAAAGCACTTTTAAGGTTAATGGAGCTGATTTTATACATTTGTTTGAATTTCAACTACCAGATACAATTGAATGCAAGGGAGATGATTTCTTTATCTTCAGCAAACTAAGTATTCATGAATCCAAAGTTTTAAGTAGTTTTGTTGATTTATCGATTCTCAAATATGCTTTGAGTTCATTCTTAAGTTTGGAAATAGTTCATGGAATTCATAGTAATGTTCAAAATAATTTGATGCATTGCGATATACCGAATTCTACTATTTGTGTTGAGGGTAAGGTATCCCTAGTCAAGGTATCATTTAAGAATTCAAAAGGGAAAGATATTACCACCTATGAGTTTACCAGAGCCATTTGTAATAATGCCATAGTATTTCAACGAAATGATGAGTATATTAATGATTTCTTTGCTTTCAAGATTGATCAAAATGGTATTAAAATTTTTTCATTTGCTCAAAATTCAGATTATAAATTTAAATTAAATAATATCAAAAAATTAAGGAGCAGATTATTCAATAGCCCACTTGACCAACTGAATCCCAACACACTGACCGATTTTCTTCAAAATTTGAATTATAGAAATATTAAGCTCAATAATTCAGATATCAAAATGACAGCCTCCGATGGTCACGAACCCAACCGTAGGAAAAACAGTTCTATCTTCCAATCTAAAGGCCATTCGTGTAATTCTACCCAGAAATATCCCACAGAGTTAGAGGGTATATTTGAAACCGCATTAAAAATTGATCGTGAAAATATTGAAACTTATAAAGCTACGATTGAGGTGTCAAAGGATATTTTAAAGGGAATCATTTTTATGGACAATATTCGAACTAAAATATTTTCAGAATGTGGTAGAATCTGCAGTATAGTTGAGGAATCAGACAAAATCTGTACAATCATTTTGGAAACAAGAAAAATATTGGATGATTTTCCTCGGCGTCAAATCAATGAAGACATTGTTATACACTCATTTAAAACCTCAAAATTTATTGTAGATTTATGTCTTGAAAAAAATCTAATATTTCTTTACAAAATATCACCTGATACTATTTATGCAAATCATAGTGTGATTAATATAACCTGTAGAAAGGACATGAATGTGTTGTATCCATCCTATTTTATTGAGACAATCCAGCTTCGTGCTAGTCATATGCGATTTTTAATAATGATGAAAAGCATAGAGTCAGTTCAGCATTGTGGTGTCTTAATGAATGGAATTGCAGTGAAAGAAGGTGCAATATATTTTGAATTTGATACAAACACTGAGGAAGAGTATAAATTTAAAATATTTAGTTGCAAAAAGGACCAAGCCATTTTTGAAATTCCAAGGATCATTTCACGTGAAAAATTTACTATTTTGATACCTACAGAAAACGATTATTTAAAAATATTTTTAATTCCTAAATCAAAAAAAAAAACAAATGTTTTTTATAAGATGAGTAATTTGGACATCAAAGTTGATTACTATATCGATGGAATCATTAAATTATCTACAAATTCGCAAATCAACATTCCTATATTTGGAAATCCCACACATGTAATATTTTGGGATCGTGAAATTGATATGAACAATCACGATTTAAATAATTGTGAATCGTATATTTCTGATGGGATTAACCAAACAAAAATAGAGAAATGTGGTGTACTAAGATCTGAAAGAAAGAAATATACAATAATTTACAAGAATCAAACAAGAAAAAGCAGAATAGTAAAAATTTTTACTGGATTAACAAAATTAAATTGATTGACTGATTTAATATAAGCAAAATATTATTGAATTAGTACTTAAGTTATCTTAATAATTAGGAAAAGGATATTTTGTGATTATTAATATTAAAATAGAATTTAAATATTTTGAAATATTATTTGAGGGAATATAAATTAAAAGAGTTTGTATAGTATATTGTTGGTGATAATCTTTATTCATTATCAAGCCAAAGGAATCATACAATATACTAAATATAAGACGTAAAAATTCGACATCTAAAATCATATTTTCTTTTTCCCGATGGTCAATTTAAAAAATTCCCAACCAGGGAATCGAACCCTGACCCCTAGAGTGAAAATCTAGAATCCTAACCGTTAGACTAATCGGGATTACGTATTATCTAATCAAGATAAATGACCTAGAAAACAGTATATTGCTCATGTCTTTTATCTAAAATTCTTTTAAATAATTAGCTACAAAAAAGATTGAATAAATATTTATTAATTAAAATCTTGTTCTGAAAAGACTTGTGAAGTAATATATCACATCTTTGATATTTCCTCGTACAACAAATCATATCTAACTTTTTGCAATTTTGAAAAATCATAATTAGCCTTAGCAATGAATGCAATATTTTCTCCGCGAATTGCAATCAATCCAAGTCTATTTTCAGCATATCTATCTCCAAGAAATATTCTCTCGGTAACAAAATTTAACGAAATACTGTTGTATTGATCGTATGATTTCAAGGTACCATATAAAAACCTGTTATCAGTGAGAAGGACAATAACTTGTTTGTCAATGTATTCTTCATACTCCCTTGTGTTAACCTCATCCATGTTGGCATCTAGAGAATCAATGCCCCAATTATTAGCATCTCCAGTGATAGAAGTTTTTTTTTTTAAAATATCCATGGGGAATAAAAAATTATAAAATTATAAGAGAATTTCTGGAAATATTTTTTTGATTCAACAGATGGAGCTTCTATAACATAAAAGAATGATTGTGATGTAAATAGTTATATATAGAGTTTACTTATGGATACAATGTAGTTATTCTCCAGAATAGTCAGTTAATAGCTGTTATTAAATTATATGCATTTATTTAAATGTTTCCGTCTATCTACGATTCATTTCAAATATAATTGTAATCATCGTATTCGTGATTAAATTCCTCTATTTTCTTTCTAATCTTAGAATGATCAGCCCATAAGACAAATTCTTTCATTCCACGACTAATGAGCATTGAGGTATCATTTACAATCCTGTTCCCCAATTTTACATGTCCTTGTTGTACAAATTGATCTGCATTCTGGAAATTGGGCATCATCTTTTTACTTACCATTACCATAGGTAATCTTCTCTGGCAAATTGATGATACTGTTACTTTTGTGCAATCAACTAATTTTTTATTGGAAATAATTCCAATATCATACAATCGATTTATGAGTTTTTTACCTACAAATTCCTTAGTTCCATCATTATCTGCTAATCGAGCAATACTTTCTGATAATTTACGAATCATACCGACAATTCTGTTGTATTTTTGATATTCATCTCTGGTCTTTAACAAATATTTGGATGTCACAAGCTGCTCTCTCGTTGTGTTGGTCTTTTTCCACTCATCTAGATTGACTTTTTTCAGAAGTTTCTTTTCATGATATTTGAGATTTCTCATACGAATTAGGGAAATTTATAAAAGAAAATTTTAAAATAAAAACTAATATTTTGAATATTTGACACTATAATTTGCTAACTTTAATAGTTATTTCAAAAATGACCAGCTACAAACTCTCATGGAGTTTCTATAAATGTATTTACCAAATAATGCTCTAAATGAATAAAAATTGTAGAAATAGTTGGAAACAACGATGAAATTTAAAATGAATCATATTGATGGCTATATATTATGATGAGGTCTCATTCTCACAACAAAAATGATCTTTATTTCAAAAAGAGTTGATCTACCCACAAATCAAAATATAATTACTATACATGCTGCAAACTATTTTCTAATCATTTTTATTATACAATGCTTTGCCAGCCCAAATAGATTTTGGACCAATTTGAATACCTATCATTTCTGAATTTGGTTCTACTATGACAAAATCTCCCAAAATACTACAAGATCCATTTTCAACGGAATGTATTCTAGATTGTTCTTTAATCGTACAATTAAAGCCTATTAATGAGTTTCTAATCACACAATTATCTTCGATCACACAATTATCAAAAATTGTACAATTATATAGATCTACATTTCTACCTATCTTAACATTTCTACCAATACAAATACTCCTTACTGGACAGTAGAAAGGTGATGAAAATACATTGGAGAGTAAACTGTCATCTGATTTTGATCTTTGAATTTGCTTAGTTATAGAATTTTTTTCTTCTATTGTTCTTCTGCTTGGAATAACAGTTACATTCCCATTAGAATTTAGGTAACTTGAATTAATTTTTGATATTATCTTATATAAACCATCAATATCATTGGCTAAAACCTTCTTTTGGCCGTTGAGATATTCAGAGGGAACACCAATATCAAACCAAATTGAATCAATTAAATAATGAGCCATAAGCCCACGTGATGCTATTAATGGGAATACTTCCGTTTCGATGGACATGTTTTTTAATTCGATATATTTTAATACCTCATTTTTAAAAATATATATTCCTCCGTTTATAATATTGCTTATGATATCTTTTTTTCTTTTGGGTTTTTCTAGAAACTCCAATACTGTTTTACCCTCGGTACGAAGTACTCCGTATCGTGTGGGATCATCCACCATTGTTGTCATTAACATTGCAATTATTTTAGGAGGCTCTTCAGATTTTTTGATTTTGGAAGATATATCCCATTCTTCAGAATTTGATCCAAAATCTACACATTTATAAAACTGGGAAACCATAGCATTCAAATCCAAATTGCAATATATATCTGTATTCATAACAATAAAATCATCACTTCCAATATATTTTTCTGCAAGTTTTAGAGGTCCAGCAGTTCCAAGAATTATACTTTCTTGAGAATAAATTATTGTTAAATCGTATATCTTTTCCCATAACTTGGATGATTCTATGATTTGTTCTGAAAAATAATTTAATGCCAAAATTATTGTTTTGACATTTGCCTCGGCTAGTTTTTCAATTTGAAATTGAATAATTGGTATATTACAGAACAGGACCAATGGCTTTGGCCGAGTATGAGTGAGAGGATAAAGTCTACTTCCCCTCCCACCAACCAACAACACTGCCTTTTTAATTGTTTTGTTTGGTAAATTCATTAGGGTTTTGATTTGAAAGTATTATTAAATAAAAATTAAACTAATATGATTTGCTACAATAATAAAGAAAGTTTTTAGTTGGATAATCAAGATAGTATCAATCAAAAGTATTAGCTTTTAAAATTTTACCCAATTACTTTGTGAAAGCGAATATTATTGCTACTGAAGTGATCACTATCGAATTTAAGTGATTGGGTTTGTAATCCTATGGTACTCAAACGTCTAGATTAATATAGGTGATTGAGTTTAATTTTGATTAAAATAGCTTTTATTCCAGTATACTTGAATAATATTTTTATAAGGAACTCGTAAATTACTTTTTAGACTGTATATAACAATAAGAAATATTTAGATGATAAGCTGAAAACATTCCGCACATTGTATTTTCAGATGTTTTAAAATGATTATAACAATTCAAAATTGAAAGATTCAATCCAGACATTAAATTACTATTTTAAAGTATTTTCAAATATACATGGTATTTTTTTAATCCATATTTCTTCAAATTATAAGTTTTTTCATCCCTATTTTGTATATGAGTCATGATTCTTCTTCTACCAATAGAACTAGGATAAGCTCTTCTTATATGATAGATGAAAATCCTTTTAATGCTGTAAAATATACTGAAGTAAATTCAAAAGAAATCTGCACAGATCAAAAAACAATAAAACCAATCCTTTCTATGGAGCTGCTAACAACAAAGAAGGTAAACAACATAAAGATTGTAAATACTATCAAGAAGATAGATGGTATTTACAATGAGATTCATATTTTTTCCAAAAGCCCATTAGACATTTCAGAGTTGAAATATTACGTTTTTCCTATGGATTTAGATATCAAGAATGATGATAGTGACAGTTTTTTGAAAAACCATCAAGCATATTTAAAAGCTCTTAAATCTGCATTCAATAACTTTAAGAAATTTGGACATAAATTTATTGTGCAATTTGAGGGGGGTTTGATATTTTTTCTGAATAAATTGAAATGTACATTAAATCTAAAATCTATCCTTAAGACTAGTGATATTAATTACTCTACAGATTCTACAATGTTATTAATCGAAGATAGCCCCAATTTAGTTGTGGATTTATTGATAAATTATAATATTCGAAAGGGAGCAACAATTCCATTTATTCTAGGATACTATGAGTTTAACTATTCATTTGTTAGGCTTATTACTGTAAGAAACGGTCCAATTGTGGAGAGTGGTAATAGTAGGGAGTATATGTACAGTATTGATGGACCGGTGTACTCAGGTGATTTAGAATTTTCAGAACATATTAGATTGCAATATAAATAATAAATTGGTATAATAAAATCTTTGTAAATAAACTAAATATGGTGTTACTTTTAAAACCACTTAAATATCTACTTGTCTTTAAATATGCTTGGTTTGATTGCTACTAATTCTGTTTTGTTGATTACATTACAAAATGGTACTTAGAATCGTATTTTTGGATTTGATTATTTATTCATTTGTTTTTCGCATACAATGTGCCGAACAGACCATTTTTTCAACCACAAACTGGCTTTCAGAGTCAAAATAACTATTCTGATAAATATAAAATGGTTCTACTACAAACATCTTTCTACACAGATCACATCGATTTTGATGTTTAAACATGGCATTCTGCCATGCTTCGAGTTTATGGTTCTTTCTTAACATTTTTGTAAAACAAATTTGAGCCAAGCTATTTCCAATAGGTATTTTATTAGAAATTTTTTCATAAGGGTTATTTGACAATCTAATTGTGGTAGACTCACAGAACGATTTAAATAATTTAAATGGAATATATTTTAACAAGTTATCACTAAGGTCAATCATATTTACACTGCTAAGTGTCTCGGAAAATGCCTCTCCAGAAATATTTGAAATCTTATTGTTCCTTAAGTTTAAATACTTCAATTGGCTACAATAAATACCGTCAACAGGAAATTCAGTCAACAGATTATCACTAAAATCTAATTTTTCAATATTTTTCAATCGAAAAAGACCAGGATGAATTTTTGTAATTTTGTTTTTAAATAAAGGAAGTATTTTTAAGGAAGTTAAACTTGACATGTCAGGAACTTCTTTAATTTCGTTCATACCCAATCCAAATTCTTCAAGCTTAATTAATCTATTAATACACCTAGGAATCACCTTGATTGCATTGTTGGATAGATTTAACCAGCTTAGATTTGTTAACAGACACAGTTCATCTGGAATCTCCTTAATTCGATTGTTACTGAGATCAATTTTAATTAAATTTTGCAAAAATTTGATATCAGGTGATAAATGAGTGACTTGGTTACTAAAGAATCCAAATTTTCTTAAATTTTTTAATTTGTAAATTGATTTTGGGATTTCCGAAAATTCATTTTCCGAAAGCCCTAAACCTGTTATCTTTGTTAAATTGCCAAATTCATCAGGTAGAGATTTTAATTTGTTTCTTGTCAAATCAATCCAATTAATATGGTTACAGTTTCCTATTTCTTTATCAATATATACAATTCTATTATCATTTAAGGCAAGCCTAGTCAAATACCTTAATGTCTTGATACTACTATCAATGCTTCTAATTTTATTATCACTTAGTATTAGCCAATTTATATCTGAGTCAATCGATTTGTATGGTATTTCTGTCAAGTCAGATTTCGTTAGATCAATACTGGATATTTCCATTATGTTTATACAAATTATTTTTTTATAACTTGTTTTGGGTTTCAAAAAATAAATAATGTAAAAATAGTTTCAAGAAAATCTTATTTAAAGGTAAATATTATAGACATAAAAAATAGTAGTTGATCAAAATAAACAGAATGATTTTAGATCTAGTAAGTTGTTGTATATATCTGAAGTCTTGATAATTCAATAAAATAAGCCATGATTAAGTGCTTATTTATAATCACTCAGGTTAAAATTACTAAACTAATTTATTATTTTAACTAGCTATTAATTAATACGTATATCTAAATATTAAAATTCAATAGAAAGCTATCTGTATTTATTTAAGCATTATATATATTTGGTGAAGCCCTATATTTGAGAAAGTATATTATTTAAAATATCATTTGTAATCCTAAGTGGTATTTTAAATAATAAAACATTTGGTTGGTTGAATCAGATTAACAGTTTCTCTATTGGCTTAATAAGATTCATGATGATCTTTAAAATCATAAGTCAAATAAAAAAGAAAATTATTTGGCAACAAAATACTCAGTACTAACTAACTGCATTGTTTCAAGTAACTATCCCTTACTAAAAATGTCTATGACATCTCAAACCAGTTTCATCATTTTCGATAGTTTTAGAAGCCATGAATTTATCAAAATCAATTTTGTTTCAGTGGCATTTTTATAAAAAAATCTTTGGATTTTTCTATGGGTTCACGTGCCAGCATTC